GTGTTTTTCTGAAAATTGATAATTCTTTGTTAGTTTATCAACAGTATAACATGCCTTAACCATTTCAAACATGTCTGAAATTATCAGCCAAAAAATCTGAACTAGTTAGTCTGAACAGCATGTGACCATAAATTGTGTACTTTCAACTACTTTCATAGTAGATAACCCGTTGTTAGATTATCTGTGTAATTTTGAATCCCCAACACGGTTAGCATTAGACAACTTTTTCTGCTTGAGTTGAACTGACATTCTTACCAGTTGCTTTATGAAGTCAGGACTGTTTCTGAGCTGCTCCCCCTGGTTGTCAATAGAGTGACATTAGGCTAATGGCAGCAGATTCAGCTCATCTCTTCTTCAGCTACAGATTTCAATGTCTGGACAGTTGTGAAACTGATTTTCATTTAGTACCTCATCATAATCTCTTGATTTGTTGTAGAAGTGCTAGGAAGAAAAAAGGTTTCCTAGATATGTAATTAAACAACTGATTTTATAAAAAACTATTCAATCAACAGCAGATCACAACATATGAATACAATATGCTCACATGTATGAAAAGTGGTCTGTGGTCTCCTTACCAGTCAATGTTGCTCAGAAGAAACAGTCTTTCTCTGGTGAGTCCTTGCTCCCATCACCTCCTTCTGATGCTGCTCTCCTTCCTCTCTCATCTGACCTTTGCCTTCCATCTCCTCTCAAAATTACCCTCCTTTAATTAAACATTTCAACACTTAATACCAAATATATACAATTTACAGAATACACCACTTAGCTTTAAACCAGATACAACATGTGAATAATACTGAATGTAGCCGTAGCTTAATAACAGAATTAAAGAATAATAGCTAGTATATTGTATACGCTTATGTTGACACTTTACCTCAAAACTGTAATATGGCTGTGGCTCATGAGGTAGGGTACGAGGCAGTGCAATTGTCTCCTCTCCAGCAATTTGGTGGTTCGACTCCTGGTCTCCCCACATGTCTAAGTGTCCCTGAGCAAAACACTGAACCCCGAATTGCTCTCAGTGGCTTGATTAGCGCCATTGTATGGCAGCTGTCGTCATAGATAGGTGAATATAAATCCAGTTCGTTTACCATTTAGATAAGTATATAGGTATTAAAAGGCATTAGTGTATATATTACTAATTTATATCATTGATTACTGATTTATCTATATTACTGTTTATTTCATATCAAGTTTTATTTACAACTTATTTACAATTTTTGTTTGCTGATGATACTACCATTTGGGCATCCGATGAAAACCTACAGCAACTCTCTGGAATGGTTTCAGAGGAATTTGTGAAGATAAAGAAATGGTGTGACAGTAATTTACTATCTTTGAATTTGGAGAAAACTAAATATATGGTATTTGGGAATCGTAGACCACATAATGAACTTCAATTAAAAATTGGGGGTGCTAACATCGAACGAGTATATGAAATCAAATTTCTGGGTGTCATGGTTGACGACAGATTCTCCTGGAAATCTCATATCAGATATGTTCAGCATAAAATAGCTAAAAATATATCGATATTGGCAAGGGTTAGATATATGCTGGACGTGAAAGCACTTCGCATTTTGTATTCTGCATTGATATTACCATATTTGGAGTATGGCGTTGAAAACTGGGGAAATACAGTGCCTTGCGAAAGTATTCGGCCCCCTTGAACTTTGCGACCTTTTGCCACATTTCAGGCTTCAAACATAAAGATATAAAACTGTAATTTTTTGTGAAGAATCAACAACAAGTGGGACACAATCATGAAGTGGAACGAAATTTATTGGATATTTCAAACTTTTTTAACAAATAAAAAACTGAAAAATTGGCCGTGCAAAATTATTCAGCCCCCTTAAGTTAATACTTGGTAGCGCCACCTTTTGCTGCGATTACAGCTGTAAGTCACTTGGGGTATGTCTCTATCAGTTTTGCACATCGAGAGACTGAAATTTTTGCCCATGCCTCCTTGCAAAACAGCTCGAGCTCAGTGAGGTTGGATGGAGAGCATTTGTGAACAGCAGTTTTCAGTTCTTTCCACAGATTCTCGAGTGGATTCAGGTCTGGACTTTGACTTGGCCATTCTAACACCTGGATATGTTTATTTGTGAACCATTCCATTGTAGATTTTGCTTTATGTTTTGGATCATTGTCTTGTTGGAAGACAAATCTCCATCCCAGTCTCAGGTCTTTTGCAGACTCCATCAGGTTTCCTTCCAGAATGGTCCTGTATTTGGCTCCATCCATCTTCCCATCAATTTTAACCATCTTCCCTGTCCCTGCTGAAGAAAAGCAGGCCCAAACCAGGATGCTGCCACCACCATGTTTGACAATGGGGATGGTGTGTTCAGGGTGATGAGCTGTGTTGCTTTTACGCCAAACATAACATTTTGCATTGTTGCCAAAAAGTTCGATTTTGGTTTCATCTGACCAGAGCACCTTCTTCCACATGTTTGGTGTGTCTCCCAGGTGGCTTGTGGCAAACTTTAAACAACACTTTTTATGGATATCTTTAAGAAATGGCTTTCTTCTTGCCACTCTTCCATAAAGGCCAGATTTGTGCAGTATACGACTGATTGTTGTCCTATGGACAGAGTCTCCCACCTCAGCTGTAGATCTCTGCAGTTCATCCAGAGTGATCATGGGCCTCTTGGCTGCATCTCTGATCAGTCTTCTCCTTGTATGAGCTGAAAGTTTAGAGGGACGGCCAGGTCTTGGTAGATTTGCAGTGGTCTGATACTCCTTCCATTTCAATATTATCGCTTGCACAGTGCTCCTTGGGATGTTTAAAGCTTGGGAAATCTTTTTGTATCCAAATCCGGCTTTAAACTTCTCCACAACAGTATCTCGGACCTGCCTGGTGTGTTCCTTGTTCTTCATGATGCTCTCTGCGCTTTAAACAGACCTCTGAGACTATCACAGTGCAGGTGCATTTATACGGAGACTTGATTACACACAGGTGGATTCTATTTATCATCATTAGTCATTTAGGTCAACATTGGATCATTCAGAGATCCTCACTGAACTTCTGGAGAGAGTTTGCTGCACTGAAAGTAAAGGGGCTGAATAATTTTGCACGCCCAATTATTCAGTTTTTTATTTGTTAAAAAAGTTTGAAATATCCAATAAATTTCGTTCCACTTCATGATTGTGTCCCACTTGTTGTTGATTCTTCACAAAAAATTACAGTTTTATATCTTTATGTTTGAAGCCTGAAATGTGGCAAAAGGTCGCAAAGTTCAAGGGGGCCGAATACTTTCGCAAGGCACTGTAAAAATTACTGCAGGTAGTGCAATGTAGGCCTAACTTCACAAAGGTTTATTCAGCTACTGTACAATGCTGACAAAATACTAAAGTACAGCTAAAGCTTATATATGTAAGGCTCCTGACAAAGGATCTCCCAGTTCTCCCAGGTCATTTTTCACAGAAACACCTTTTTATATTACAGTCCACACCAACAACATAGTCGTTTTGGAAAATAACTAAGTACATTTACTTAAGCAAGCTCCTGGTACTGGAGCAGTTTTGAGCTACACTTTTAGAAAGCTGTGCTGGTGCATTTAAAGACATTCTGTGCACAAATTACAGCTCGTTAATAGTTTAAAGGGTGAAAAGAATGAGCCTTTTCACCCTTGGTTATATATAACCAAGTATCCACCTTTTTGAAAGACCTAAGACCAATGAAATGATTGAGAGAAGCAACAAGTCAGATGGCCAGTGGCACCATATTGTAATTCTAAATTATCTATTAAAATAAAAATGATGACAATGTTAGGTTTTAAGCAAGCTGAATTGATGATTTCTTGTGTGCCTCGAAGAGTCTTCTTTATGTGTTGCAGACTTGGGTTAATAAACAAAGCTGAAGCTGAAAGGTGATAAATGAGTCTTTGGTTGGAGGGGGTCAGACTCATG